AGTGTTTTGGAAACGTCTCATCATCAATTATAAGAATATGCAACGAAAAATAAGGGGTTCCATTTAAGATTTTTATGTTGATCTTATTAACACATTTTGAGATCATTCTAAGGCCGAATAATTATCAATGTCTGATAGCTTCTTTTAAACCCTACAACTTTTGTTGCTAACATTTTTTTTAATCATTATTTTTTTAAATAATTAGCCGTTCCGTAACTTTTGGCAGACCCTGTATATATACATATATACAGGGTATCTCAGACCTCCATGATCACACTTTGCGGGAACATAGAACGAATTGAGGTGAGCAAGAAAGTCCTATTCCATTTTGTGATATTCGCAATAGTTTTCGAGAAATTAATTATTTGATCTCAGCTAATGAGAGCAGGGGAAGCGGTAGCCGAAAGAAAGATGTCTTCGGCCGGCGCACGATCGTGATATACGCGAATCGTAACTCCCTCCGCCCACAGCGAGGCTTGGGACACTAACCATGTGCATGACATATCCATATGTCGAATCGAAACGTGTCGTTGCTTCGGCTGCATACGTGTATGTAGAGATGAAACAACGAAGCGGCAACACACTCTTAGATTCAGCGTCGATTCAGTACACGGATATGACATGCACATGTGTTAGTATATCAAGCTTTGCTATGTCTCGTAACTATGGACGGAGGGATGCAGCGAGTTGCGATTTGCGTGTATCACGGTCGCACGCCGGCCGAGGACATCTTTCTTTCGGCTGCCGCTTCCTCTATTCTCATTAACTGAGACAAAATAATTAATTTCTCGACAACTATTGCGAATATTTCAAAACGACACAAGATTTTCTTGCTCACCTCAATCCGTTTTACAAAGTGTGATCATGGAGGTCTGAGATTCAGATACTCTCTCTCTCTCTCTCTCTCTATATATATATATATATATATATATATATATATATATATCCTCATCGGCTCCTTATCGGGCCGTATATTTTACCTTTATGATTGAATGGCAATATTTATCGTATTTTTCTCGAGGAAGTTTTGCCAGAACTCATAGAAAATGTGCCACTTGTCATAAGAAGGCAAATGTGATTCCAACACGATGGAGCATCTGCCCATTTTAGTGCTACTGTGCACAATTACTTTGACCAAAGATTTAATGAGCGCTGGTTAGGCCGAAGAGGTCCTATCGCATGGTCTCTCCGGTCACCAGATTTATCTTCGCTTGACTTTTTTTATGGGGGAATATGAAAACTTTCATTTATGAGACACCTATTGAAACAGAAGCAGAATTAGTAGCCCGAATTACTGTTGCAGCATATCAGGTTCAGAATATTCCTGCAGTCTTCGAGCGTGTGAGACAATCAATGTTTCGACGATGCCATCTTTGTGTTGAAGCAAATAGAGGAATTTTTGAACATTTATTATAAATTGAGCTAATTAATTGCGCATTTTTGTTCCGTCCTTTTGTTCATTGTTTTTTGAAGATTAAAATATATACGTGTAATTAAAATAAATTTAATTTTTCCACTTATATGTTTGTTTTTTATTAAAATCATAAAATTCTTATTTTGTACCTTGTAGTATTAAAACGAAGCGTCGTAGAGAAAAACGTTATTAACAAAATATGTTTGTTTTTATATCCTCTATTTCTCCTCAAAGTTTGCCGATCTAATTTTTTTATACTCTGTATATATATATATACAGGGTATAAAAAAATTAGATGAGGCATTCTTCTTCAAACCGGCCATCCCCTCTGCCCAAAATTTGTATGGATCGATTGAGGTCAACCGGGGCTCAAATTTTAGGTAATCATGTCTAGTGTCATTTGCCATCTGGCCTTTTGAGAAATCCATGTCGGCTTTAATATGACGAAACTGGAAAAAACGATGGAAAAATCCGTACGTGACTTCCTATACGCCACGATTACTCAAATCGGCTCCAAAATGATCAACCGAAGGTTCTTAAGGTCGCTGATTAAGACTTTAAGACCTTAAATGCATTCTTTATGCATTTACAAATCAATTGATATCTTCTAGAGTATTATCATTAGATTCAACAATAAGCGCCCTAAGGTTAGTAATTTTCAAAGCGATATTCAAAGCTCATCTAGACTCCTCTTTAACCTTCATTTATTTTACTTCTTTCAAGGAAATTGGTACTTCTTGAGGAGCATTGGAATACCGTTTATCAATAATGTTATCAATAATTTTATCAATAATTTTATCAATAACGGTATTCCAATGCTCCTCAAGCAGTACCAATTTCCTTGGAAGAAGTAAAGTAAATGAAGGTTAAAGAGACGTTCTAGATGAGCTTTGAATATCGCTTTGAGAATTACTAACCTTAGAGCGCTTATTGTTGAATCTAATGATAATATTCTAGGAAATCTCAATTGATTCGCAAATGCATAAAGAGTGTATTTAAGGTCTTAAGGTCGTAATCAGCGACCTTAAGAACCTTGGGTTGATAATTTTGGAGCCGATTTGAGTAATCGTGTGGCATATAGGAAGTCACGTACGGATTTTTCCATCGTTTTTTCCAGTTTCCGCTGCCATATTAAAGCCGCCATGATGAGTTTCTCAAAAGGCTAGATGGCAAACGACACTAGACATGATCACCTAAAATTTGAGCCTCGGTTGACCTCAATCGATCCATACAAATTTTGGGCGGAGAAGATGGCCGGTTTGACGAAAAATACTTCATATATATATATATACAGGGTGTTTCCTCCGGGCATTTAGTGGGGACATAGAATGGGTTGATGTGAACATAAAACTTTTATACCGTTTTGCGAAATTCGTAATAATAGTCGAGTATTTAATTGTGAAAGATTAAGGAAAAGCGTATGATGAATGGTAGAGGACGGACCGCTTGAGTCACAGCGCAGCCCAATAATATAGCGCGCGGATGTCGCGCGTGGCGATTGGAAGACAATGCACTGTCTATACTTATATCGCTGTACTCCTACATCACGCCTCGACGCGGTGCGGCAAGACGTAGGAGCGGAGCGGTATAAGAATAGGCAGTGGTGCGTTGTTTTCCAATCGCCACGCGCGACATCCGCGCGCTATATTATTGGGCTGCGCTGTGAATCAGCGGTCCGTCCTCTACCATTCAGCACACGCTTTTCCTTTCCGCAGCACGATGCGGCGAGATGTACACAGATAGACGGAGTGTCACCGTATGCGTAAAAGAAGGAAGACAAATGTTATCATAGGATCTGAATATCGACACGTATCTCAATACAAGCATGGGCATTGACTGTTCTTCCAATTATCGCGCGGCGGTACCCGTGCGGTACATTAGTGGATCTACGCTGAGGCCGAGCGCTCCTCCTACGACCAATCAGCGTGAGTTTTTCCTTAATCTTTCACAATTAATTACTCGATTATTATTACGAATTTTGCAAAACGGTATAGGACTTTTATGTTTATATCAACCCATTCTACGTCCCCACAAAATGCCCGGAGAAGAGTGTGAGACACTCTGTATACAGGGTGTCCCGAAGTCCCATGATGACCCTTGGTGAGAACGTAGAACGGATTGAGGTGAGCAAGAAAGTCCTGTGCCGTTTTGCGATATTCGCAATAGTTTTTGAGAAATTAATTATTTTGTCTCAACAAATCAGCGTACAGAAAGCGGCAGCGGAAAGAAAGATGCCTTCGGCCGACGTGCGACCGTGACACTC